TTTTGCCTAACGAGTGGCGAGAAGAGGGAAGTCCCGGATTATGCGCATGTTACATCACTCTGTGTTTAGCACTCGTTCCAGTAGCATCGTAGTGTCGCTTGTGATCAAACATTTTCTCGAACATGTCTTATATTGTGATAAATGTGCATGAATCCTCCAGGCCTACACGATGACCTCCCTGGATAATTTAAGTTCATCAAGATCCAGTTTCTACCTCCCAACAACACTCCGTTACTCCAGCCCATGGATCAGCAAGTTATTTCTAACTTTAAGAAGCTCTACACTAAAGCACTCTTCGATCATTGTTTTCAATTTACTGAAGGGACCAACCTCCCTTTCAAAGAGTTCTGGATAAATCGCTTCCACATCGTTGCTTGTCTCAAGATGAACGACAAGTCGGGGGAAGGGGTTACCAAGAAAGCCCTAACCTCTGCTTGGAAGAAGCTTAGGCCGGAGAGCGTTGTCAATTTGTGACTTTGAGGGGTTCGAGACAGTACCTGTGGAACCTGTAGTCAACGAGATTGTGTCTTTGGCCACTATGATGGTATTGCAGGTGGAAAACAGTGATATCGAAAAACTTGTGGAAGAGCACAGCCAAGAACTGACCACCGAAGAGCTTATGGAGTTGCATTGTCAGAGGAAGAGGTAACAGAAAAGAAACAATCTTCTGGCGAAAAAAAGAGAAATGCTGAAAGCTTGGGAAACTGTTGCATCTTACATTGAGAAGCATCACCCTAATAAGAAAGTGGCTATGTGCGCTGAAATTTTTTTGTTATGATAATGCTGTGTCGAATTTTCGACAAATTTTGAAGCGTGGGCAAAAACAAATGTCTCTGGTCATCTTTCTAATAACAAAATAATTATCTATGTATCATAATTATTTAGACTTTTTGTTTTGTTTTCTGCAAATGGAATTCGCATTCCAGGTGGTTTCGTTTCACGTTTGAAGAAAAGATGAAGATGATTTACTCTCCTTAACAATATGCGTGCGTATAATTTTCATTGAATAGACGTTTTACATAGCATTTTGTGAGTATTTTTTTTTTTTCGACATGGAACGCATTATCGTATTTTACATCAATTTATAACAGAAAAATTGTTTCGCATAACGAGTGTTCGCTTAACAAGTATGATTCTGGAACGAATTATGCTAGTTAAGCGAGGTTCCACTGTAATTAAGTTGACATATTTTTTTTTGGCCACGAAGAATCACTCTATTCACATATAAATAGTTGTTTAGTGATCCTATCGAGAATTATTTTATATGTAGTATAATCATATCCTATTGTTTATTTGTGTGCATATGCATGTGTGCGTACTCGTGCGCGTGTGTAGGTAAATATGCATTTGCATTCAGAAGTGCGTACGCTCCACACTAATCACAAAATCATCGTAATCGTCACTCACTATTTCATTAAATGTTGGCAGCCTCTGGCCCTCAGCAGAACCTCAATTGCTTGGTTAAACTTCTTGGACTAGTTTCGAAGGTCACAAGAACTGTGTTTACGTTGCCACAACAACAACAGAAATTCTTCGGTAACTAGAAATCTGCCCAAGCTATATCTCAAACGTGGAACAAAAACAAATGCTAGTTCACAGAAACTTGTAACATGTATAATTAATTTACATGATTTGCATTAACACCAACTGTGATGCTTCCAAGAGAAACGCAGTTGGTGCGCCGTGTTGCAAAATCATTCATATTACATTGTTCTTGGGACAAGTACGTAAGACTTGTGGAGATACCAATAGGAAAAAGAGAGTTTAAAACCCACAAAAAGCAAAAACAAATAAGCCTCATTTGGAGTGACGTATATCCATCTAACTGCCGATTTGTCGACTGATAAGCTGCGACACAAAAGCAATCATTTTGGTTATATCATCATCATCATTATCATCATCATCATTATCATCATATTCCAAGTTTGCCTTTACGGGCTGTTGGGTTAAACAGTTTCTTTTCCAGAGCTTGACAGCTGGCAGTGCGTGTAAATGTTTGTCTTTAATACCTTAAGTCCATGCTCGTCTTGAACATCCTTTTGCTCTGATTTCACAACTATTTATATGCAAGGCCTATGTTAGTTGTTAGTGAGAAAGACATATTTGATCACTGCTTCTTAAATCTTGAAGTGCCAAACAGCTCATCACACGGTTGGTCTTACACGATATCCTTGATGTCTTTCTCTCATAGACGTGTGCTATATTAACAACTTGTATCTGAATGATTAATTTAAACCATTTTTGTCCCAATTATTTCTGTTGAGCTCAGATGTAAATACAAAATATCTTTATGGTCAAATGCTTGGTATACAAGGGGCTGAAGTAACAGCTTCTCTGAACTGATAGAGATAATCAATTGGTTCAAATCCGAGTGTCTATTGCAGATACACTTGCTCGGCATTTTGATATGTGGTTAACATCTTAAAGAGCGAAAGACAGGCTTATTAGCCAGTTAAGTTACGACTCAGTCCCGTAACTAGAGTAAGAGCGTGATGTCAGTGTATTCCTCTACATAAGAGCGCGGCTTATGGATACCTCTACTCTGTGTAATATCGTTCACAACTGGCTTAACTGGATAAATCTGCAATGACGTAGTTTGCTAAACAGCGTACTAAAGCCCTTAAATATCATAATCATCATCATCGTAATTTAGGACAGGCCTTTCACAGGACTTATTATACCCTCCACATACGGAAATTAACTAAACTAAGTGTCAGTTGCTCCGCCTTGTGAATTTTCATGTCTAAAGTGTGTCTAACATCTTGTGGAAGTCTACTGTTTTGCTTAACAATTGCCTTTTTTTTTTACTTGAAGCATGCCATCAACGATAGCTCTTTCTAATGCATTATTATTTTAATAAGGCTGCAGTATTAAAGTTTTCTGTTGATGAGACAATTGTATTTGATAGTCACATCTCGTAATATAACAAAAAGTAATTACGAAATTAACAAGGACCATGACAACACAAAATTCACGTGATACATTAGCTTAAAATATTTGAAATGAACCTGGATGTAGCGAAGTGGCTGGATGTCACCAGTGTGTCAGCCATGCCTAACTTGGGTTCAAGGTAAAGTCCCAGGAAGTTATAGTTTTGAATTAGTGCATGTTATGCCAGTAGTGTGAGAAAATAACTTTACTCGTGTATATGTATGCATATGTGTGTGTGCGTATATGTATATATATATATATATATATATATATATATATATATATATATATATATATATATATATATATATATGTATACACACACATATATGAGAACATTTCTAAAAATAACTTAGATGTTTTGCAAGAGGCGAGTGCTCGAAGAAAACCTATATAGAAAGAGGGTTATGATGTTTTGGTCATGTTATGAGAAGAGGGAAACTGGAACATGTCATGACCACTGGAAAGATCTTTGAAAAGAGAGACAGACATCATGAGATGATTCTTTACAGTCTTTTGTGATGGCATGGAGAGATGTCAACACACCGATGTATACACGCAGTTGCGGATCGCAAATTATGGAGAGGCATGATCGCCCACGTCAGTCGGCAAGAGACTTAATTATGACATTTATATATGTATATGTATGAAAGCAAATATATATATATATATATATATATATATATATATATATATATATATATATATATGCGTGTATGTTTGTGTGATCTTCTTCTTCTTCTTTCGTTGGTTTGAAATAGATTATCTTTATCTGCAATTTTGTCTCTGGTATGAACTTTACTGTCTTTTGTAATTCACTCAGCGACCTGTCAAGTTCGCCTTGCACTGGTGTTTCTCTTGGCCAAATGTGTTGCCTTGATGTGTTGTATTTTTGACAGTTTTGGAGGACGTGATTAGTTGTCTCCTGTGCCCATCCACATGTGCACATGGCTGATTTGATTCGCCGATTTTAAATGTTGTGTACATGCGGCTTGAAAGTCGATTGTGTCCTATTCTAAGACGTAGAATAATAGCCTGTTATGACCTGTCCATAATATGGTATTCGTCCTCATTTTCATCGCCGAACTAGCAACTGACCGGAACCCTCCAAGAGCGCGAATCCAAGTCACGCCAGCTCCGACATTCACGAACTGGAATGTGACCTCCCAAAACACAACCGGTGGCTAACTGGACGTCCCTAAGTCTGACCCGTACAAAACACCACCGCTAGAATTTGGACCCATTGTGAAAGGTGTTCAATGAAAATCAGGTGTTTTGTTTCCTACTATGAAAGCAATAAAATAAATAGAATGGAAAAAAAAAAAAAATGGTATTAGTCTGGTGCCGGTTTTGGTGGATTTATTTGATTATTCTCTTCTTCTGTTGATAAGAGACTTATTTGTCAGGTTTCTCTTTATTTGTACCTTTCTTAGCTAGTTTATCAACTCTTTCATTTCCAGGAACTCCACTGTGGAATGGTATTCATTGCTAGTTACCTTATACCGGTTGCCTAGTTGGGAGTAGTGTTCGTATACCAATTAATTTTCCAGACTGGAGTGCTCTTGCATCTGTTAGGAATACCACGGGTTGTGAAATATGACGTATATTTAACATATGTATGATGTATTTTATTCTTCTCTGAAATTAGTCTTTTAGGTCTAAACTTCGACTTCTTTTGTCCACCGTGTGTTTTAGGACCTTAAGTTGGTGTCGAAGTCTTTTACTATTGGGCATACAAGATAGAGATAGACAAGGTTGAGGTGACTGTGAAACTGAAAAAGTTAAAAGTAATTAACCATCCATCCACTTATGCAAAACAATACTACAAAATTTACCAAGTTTAACCTATTGCGAACAGCATCGGTTATAAATGTGGTCTGATTTCTTAGTGCCTGGTTTCTTTGTGCCAATTTGTTGGCTAATAAATGCTTATTGCACAAAAACTAGTGGCCTGGAGTGGTACTCTAGTACCTAGTGAGGGTTATCACATCCCCACTGAAACTGAAATACCTGACCAGCGGACCGACAGACAAACATGTTAAAACTCAAACAGTAACCAGTGTACTCACTTTATGGCTGCAGCACAACAAGAATTTAAGCGCTGACATTTTTCTTGCCCCAAAAATGCACAAAGTCTCTTATCCCTGACGGCAGCTCCATCAAAAAGGTCAGGATATATAATCGTCTCGGATGGAATCAAAGTTCCTTCTATCCCCATCATCTCAATGGCTCGCCTGGACGGAATCATGAGTTTGTTATCCATATCAGGAAACAGGTAGCTGTAACACTGGGAGCAAGCCCATAGTCGAAAAAATGTCACATTAAACCAACCGTAACGATCGCGACACACCTCCATGATTTCAGCAGATGGTGCAGTTGGAAGGTCTAGGTGCACGTTCAAAACTTCCATAACGACAGTCTATCAAACAAAGGAATCCTTCCCGATCTTACTAATGCTATTTACTTTAAAAATCTACTACCATTGTCAGCTACTCTGTAATAATACAATCCGTTCGTAGGCAGAGCACAAAATTCATGAGAGTTATGCTGTTGAGCTTTAAAGACAAATGAAGTATTGTAAAGTCGGTGTTTGCGGCTGATGGCTTCTGAATGCAGTACTATAATCCCGAATAACCATATTCAAAGTCAGGTGCAGCAGGCTAAGGAAAAAAATGTTTGAGGTGGGGGGGGGGGGGGGGGGTAACTGTATGATACTTCTGCTGTTCACAAAGCAATAACAAACTACTGGAAGTTGTAAATTACTGAAAATAAAATCGCACAACAGTAAACAAATAATATGATTAGTTCGTGGCGTCCTGAAGAGGACATATATTTATCTTAAAGATAGTAAGCAATTAAAGTCAATCACACCAGCAGTGAACTAGTAGTAAAGTCAACATTTTCTTTAGAAACTTACATCAGTTTGTCCACATGTAAATGTCAGTGTATATTAATCTCATATGTCAACATCTGCAGACTGACTGACTATATTTAATATATACTATATATGTTGATTGTTTGAATTGATTATACCCTCACAACATTTTCCAAACGTTTTCCAAATTGCACGAATGTTTGTTGCAGTAGGAGCACACAGTCTCATCACACGGAGCAGCAGCAGACAATAACATGTGATCAGTAAATTCTTTAATACAGCTTAAATACGGTCCACGATTTAATGTAACATCCCCTTACGAATGTTACTCGAGACTATAAATTTCAAGAATCCGTATGCCTTCCGCAAGTAATTTCCAAGCCTGTTAAACCTCATCTGTCATGAACATACATTCCGGTTACTTATTGGGAATATCAAAATTATGACTGTTCTCAAATTATATACGGTTAACTAGTTTTATCAGCGATTTGCCAAAAGTAAATTTGCTTCACTTTAAGTTTATTTCAATGACGTTTCACCCAATGGGGGAAAAGTGACGGTACTTACCACAGGGTGTATATAAAGGGTGCCGCTACTAATTGCAAAGTGCCTGTTAACAGTCGTGCTAAAAAATGATGCCTGAATCTTTTTGCTGCATACATACGTATAGCGAATAAAACAGACTCCCAATTCTTATACCAGCGTTTCTCAGACTTTTGTCTAATGTGGCACCCTTGTGAGGCACACAAAAAATGTCACGGCACACCTACCCTTAAATCGGTTTAAATACTTAAGAGAAGTAGAAATAAAAACATGGTGCAACATTTAATGTTCAGTTGCCTGTAATGCGATGAATGAAACTGTTTGGATGTATTTTTCGTTATTTCCTTTATGTTTTTGTGAATTTCAGGTAATTGTACCCTACAAAAACTTGAAGGCTGCTACTGTATCTGTTTTTGTGGTAAGCGTACTTTGATCATGCACTCAAGTCTTGCCAATAGCAATATTTTCTAAATACCTCTTCATTCAGAAATCTTCCTTGCTTCCTTCACGGTATTTCTGTCTGAAACTAATGTCTTCGCTGACATCAAGCAGATTTTGAAAACATTCTTGTTTATTACCGCGGCACCCTGGCACACGCTAGGGGCACCCCTGGGTGCCGGGCACCCAGTTTGAGAACCGCTACCTTACACTATGAAAATAAATATGTATTGCAAATAATTGCTTAAAAAAAATATCTCAGTTATTTCAAGTGACTACTTTATAAAGTTCTGTGTCGGCGTTTGTGGCGTTGCGAACACCCTTGGTAAAGCCGGAGGCCGAGCTCGATCCCAGCTGCAGGGGATTTTGCAGCAGGCTGCCTTGTGTTAGCTTTTAGACTGTTATGAAGAGTCGGCCTTTTAGATTTAATGGCAAAGTAGTGAACGTAAATCTGGCTAGAAAAACCACCATAGCCAAAAAACAAAAGGGAAGTGGTTGGTTCCGCAAAGTCCTATAAGGAACACGCACCTACCTAATGTTTAACTGTATAAACAGTGGTTTAATAGTTTCCTTATTCGTTTCGGCTGCTGACAATTTGACATCAGAACGCGTATTTATTTCGACTCATAGGTCAGAGCGTTAGCAAGCAGTGGTAAATTACATTACAAAATAATTGGCCACAAACAGCCAACAACTGCTGGGTTTGTTGTGCAACGCCCTGTAAATGTAACTATCTCAAACAGCCAACAACTGCTGGGTTTGTTGTGCAACGCCCTGTAAATGTAACTATCTCAAACAGCCAACAACTGCTGGGTTTGTTGTGCAACACCCTGTACATGTAACTATCTCAAACAGCCAACAACTGCTGGGTTTGTTGTGCAACGCCCTGTACATGTAACTATCTCAAACATCCAACAACTGCTGGGTTTGTTGTGCAACGCCCTGTACATGTAACTATCTCAAACAGCCAACAACTGCTGGGTTTGTTGTGCAACGCCCCGTACATGTAACTATCTTAAACATCCAACAACTACTGGGTTTGTTGTGCAAAGCACTGTAAATGTAACTATCTTAAACATCCAACAACTACTGGGTTTGTTGTGCAAAGCACTGTAAATGTAACTATCTTAAACATCCAACAACTACTGGGTTTGTTGTGCAACGCTATGTAAATGTAACTATCTCAAACATCCAACAACTGCTGGGTTTGTTGTGCAACGCCCTGTAAATGTAACTAACTCACCTCCACAGTCGACTGCAGGTCACTTGTAGTCGTAGCAGTGTTTTAATATCACTGTATTAAATGATTGAACATTCAGTCAGACATACCACCCCCCCCCCCCCCCCCCCCCCCCCCCCCCCCAAAAAAAAAATGTAATGCCTACTTGACCCATTTCGCACATTAAGTTTAATAAAAATTGATAATTTTATGAAGTGCTCACATGATATCCGAAGATAGAAACAATATGCATGCAGGCTGTTAATTTTTATTTTGTTTGGGCAGTATAGCGCCCGATTTACTATAATCAGCTAAACACATTTCGCATATTATTTTTAATAACAATTGCTAAGTTACCGTTGTCCGTTTATAAAACCCCATGTCAGAAACGTTAATGACATTTGCAGTATTGTGAGTTTTTTTTGTCAGTGACAAGTCAATTTAAAGTAACCAGCGAAACCCAAACGAGCACCCCCACAGTTTCAGGCTTTTCAGTTACAATAATCCTCTAGCCGACTGACGAGAGCTGGAACCTTTGTGGCTGGCAGGCGCTGACGGTGTAAACAAATCCGCGACATAACGCAGGGGTTGGAAATAAAACACAGCATGCTGATTCCGGAAAGTAGCCTGTCTTCTAACAAGAGTGCAGAGTGATTTACGCTGTAAGGTCTTGAGGCTACAGTGTAATTGTGGGGAGGGAAAGTGGTGTCGTTGTTAGATGGTGGTATGCTAGTCCACGGCTAGTAGGTTCGAATCTGCATCAGAAGGATTTTTTTCTAAAGGCAGAATTATAATTGTGACACATTATCCACCGAATTTCTAGCGTCATGTACCCAGTATAATAAGAAGAACTTCACGACGGGAAGATGAATAGCAGGAGCCTACCGATCCTCAGTAGTGTCCTTTCTTTCAACAACTATATCAGAACTTTTACCTCCTGGATAATCTTGGGGAGGGGGAGGAGGAGGAAAAGAAGGGGGGGGGGGGGTTATCGGGCATCGTCTGCTGCACTTATCTGACAAGAAGTTTACGGTAATTGCACTTGGCAGTGAGTTTATGGGGATACCGTCGCTTTGGTAGCATATTTGATGTTTACCAGCATGACAAGAGTGATAAATTGACGATTGGTTCATCGGAGAGACGTTTATCGGATATACTTGCAGTTGGCAGTACCATGGGCAGACGTTATTCGGACAGCTTTGCCTCAAAAGATTTTAAGTTCTTTGCCACTAAAAGCTCGGCTCAGTCTAGCGGTGTAAATCCCCCACGTCGTTCCGCTGTGAACACAGCCAGCTCAAACTCTTTCAGCAGCTTGGCCTGGTTGCTTCAATTCCCGTTTACGCTCCTTTCCTCGCAAGGTGTTTAGCCCTCCTGCGCCCACCTCGTTCTCAGAAATCTGCCCAGCCTTGACGAAGCGCAAGGGAAGAACGTTAGATCTAATGGCAAAGCTCACTCACATGTGTCACTGATGTAAAAGAGGTTCTTTACTTTCTCCCGTGTGGGTTCTGCGCCCCACCACACCCCCGTTTTTGTAAAAAAAAAAAAGGAGGGGGGAGGGGGTAGTTCGAGTACCCTTAGATCCCATGTATTAAAAGCGACTGATTAAGATTTTATAATCCTCGGAGTCAGGGTACACTGTCTCACATGAGAGAAACCAACTTTACAAACATACAAATAAGCAAGATATGTGAAGCGGATGTGCGGGCAAAATTATAAACAAGACTAACATCCAGAAGTGGACGAACAGCTGGAATACCCCATCAAAGTTTAAAGCCTATAAACTCTGAAATGTTAGAACTTTACTTTTCAGATATGTATTACAATTTTACGAACTTCTTTCTTATCTACCTTTATATTGTAAGACACATACAAGAGGTTGTGCATGTCCTTGGTGGTCATCAAATGCAAATATATATGTTTATTTATAGTTTGCCTGCACGATTTTTGTTTTTCTTCAGAGTCTTCACAATTTTTTTTAAACACTAAATATTATTTGGGTGTGTTCCTCGTACCTGTGGTAGAAAATAAACAAGAAAAGACCAACTGCTTGCACCCCTCCCCAAGCCCCACCCAAAATTAAAGCATGTCATAAGAGTCGACTAATTTAAAGTTCCCTTCGAAATTGCCCGCGCAGCAAGGAACAAACAACTGCACGCAAATAAGTCGGTAAAACGGCTGTACGCGCAAAACCAGACCCTCGCATAAGACCAAAGTCTAAAGGATGAACAACAAGGACTTACAGCCGGTCTTCTTTTTCTTCTTCTTCTTTTCCTCCTCCTCT